TTATAATGCAGGCATGCCATTGCATAAGATTTGATCATTATTTTTTAAGGATATGGAGAACAGTTCCTTTTTTAATTCATCTAGTGCTCGAAGGAGATGTGGCTGTGGTTGGAAGCGCAGCACTAGATTTTTCATTTAAATAAAATTTCTGAGATAATATTGGAGTTTTCAAGAGGACTGGTAGAGCCTCGATCATTTATGCTCAAAAAACAAACATTTTTACTGTAATCTAGTAGTTGGCGCATTTTTATGAAGTTAACATCAAAAACTGCATTCTAGATGAAAATCTTTCTTCTGTTAAGAAAAAAAAGTCTTTTTTTTAAATTTTAGATGCATTATCGTAACCCCTGACAGGCCATCACACGACATCGCAGATGTTCTTACTGCTTTAAATGCCCAGGTATTCAGTGCAGACTTTTCTATGAAGATTTCTTCTATGAAATTCCCCTATCGATCGAAATAGCCATTTATGATGAATAATGGAAAATCTACAAATTTTTTTAAGGTAATCCGTACTAATAACGGTGCAAAACCGGAAAGCACTGACTCTCACTATGCCTATGCAAAAATCTTAGCCAAGGGAGTTCCTAACTCTTATTTTCTGGATGAGGTAACTAAATTTTTAGCAATCAATCTGATTAGTAGATGTTTTTATCGAATCTCAAGTGAATTACAGAATGTATCCGGCGCCAACGCTCTAACACACTATGAAACGACTGCTAGCGAAATTTTAACGGCTCTCAATAAGGTGATTTTCCGGCAGAGAGAAATCGTATTAGGCTTTAATTTTCCATCTTCAGGTTGACATTGTCGTAGTGCCTGTACGAACAGGTGCTGCACTAACCGGAATTTCTAAGTATTTCAAACAGCACCATCCTAATACAAAAGTAAGATCTACTGTTTTTATTTAATTTGACATCCAATAAATTTTCCTCTCAGGTTTACGGTGTCCGCAGCCACGATTCGACTTTTCCATCAATTCCTGAGCTTAGCAGCGGAGATCTTCCGTCCGTTGCTGATTTCAAGGATGCAGCTGGAGTTGAAGAAGTTGGTGCGAAGGTAAGAAAACGCGAAATTTTGAATGGTTGAAACGGAATCAGCTTTTTTGGAATTCTAGGATGCTTTCCTTATGGCACGCAGACTGATAAAAGAAGAAGGTTTGATGGTTGGACCATCAACAGGTGCAGCAGTTTGTGCAGCATTCAAGGTATCCAGCAAATTTTTTAAAGGAAATTTACTCAAAAAAAAAGAAGTGCTGATGGAAACGATAAATTTCTCTGAACACTCTGCGTTCTATTTACTTTGAATATACCTCTATTACATTTTATATTATTTCTAATTCATATTTCATTATATCTGGTTTCTATTTTTGGTCATGTCTTAGTGTAAAATCATATTATTGAAGATTCAAGGTATCATGTTGATCTTCAACTTTTACCTCTACGATCTTAGAATCCTCTTTTTTACTTTGTTTTCTTCTTTTTGTGGGACATAGTCATTGGTTTCTTTTAAGCAAGCTCATATCTAGTGTGACTATAGATCTACAGCGACACTTTTTTAGCTTGCCGAATCTCTTCCGGAAGGCAGTAATGTTGTCGTTGTGGCTGCAGATGGAATTAGAAATTATATGTAAGATTTCTCGTACTCCCTTGGTCTTCACCTTTTACTTGTTTTTTTTCCCTTTCAG